AATCAGGCCAGGAGCCTTGATCGTTGCCCACTCTAGCGTTGAAATCGCCGAGGAGAATCAGCACTTCGTTGTTTGGGATATGTTTGATAGCATCATCCAATTGGCTGTAAAAGGTATCCTTGGCATCGGTACTCGAAGTCAGGGTTGGAGCGTAGACAGAAAGCAGATTGGTGAGACCTAGATCGGTATTGAGTTTTATGTGCATGATGCGCTCAGACTTGGTTGAGCCCGGCTCTACCATCTGTACTAGCTTGTTGCTGACAGCGAAACCAACTCCATGTACTCTAGGCTCATTTTCATTTCTACCTACCAGAAAAATGTGTATTCCTTTTTTGTTAGGCTTCCGCAACCAGCTATGCGCGTTTCCTGTAATGCAGCGATAACAACTTTGAGCCTAACCAATTCTCTGCGGATGACAGCTGTTTTGCGTGCCCCATCAATGTCGCGTGTGTCTTGGGTAAGTCCGGTCAGCATCATTTGGACGTTCCAACTCCCAAGTATAAGAGCTGGTCTTCTTATAATAGATCCTTGATTCTTAGGTGAATAAGTCGCAGCCCACTTGTCAGACTGTTTCCAGACTTAAGTCCTGCTCACCCCAGCAAGACAGGCGGGCAGTGCCGGGAAAGTACCTTATTGACTTGGGGCTGCCCAGTTTAAGCGGGCGGTAGCTATCCAATGGGGCTAAAAAGCCCCTCCCACTTTCAGGAATGACCCCTGGCGTCTGGCTCTACGCCAATCAAGCCATGACTCAGAACCGGTAACTGCCACTCCCCGGTTTGTTTCCATGCCAGGCGAAGCTGTAGGGCATGGTGAGGTTGGCTCTCTATGCGCTTGCCTGAGCGGTTGATATGGAGCTACTGGTTTGCCCAGGTCCCAGAATCCCCCTTTCGGTCTTGCTGGTAGAGTCCGAAGGAAGGGCAGGGCTAGTACGTTCGGGACCTGGTCGACTGCAGGAGTTTCTAGAAAATGATATAGCGTCAAAACTAACTTACGGTGCTCCAAGTACTCCGGTTTCTCTGTCGGGGTTTTACTCCCTTAGCCTTTAGCTATCCCTAGCCACCACAAGACAGTGGGACCGTAACCCTGGTTAAGGGAGGCTAAGGGTGTGCTAACACTTGCCCAAGGTGTCTACCCAGGCTAGTGGAGGGAAGGAAGCGCCTTATTTTTCCATTTCTAGACCGGCTTCAAGCAAGGTCTAGCCACTACCCTGAAAATAACTTATTGCTAATTAGGCATTTTGCTATTATAATATTAGATATATGGATCGCGATAGGCATGAGGAACGTTGTCAAGTGACAGGTTATGTGTTCAAAAGATTCATAAGCATTATTATTACACGACTCGGGCAGTCAAAGGGCCAATAACTAAAATCAACCAATCAAAATGCTCTATTGCCGGTCAATATTCTCTCAGTATTGGACCGGGCACTGTCCCGAATGGCCCCGAATGATACCGCACTTGTGTCCCTTTGAACTTCAGTCGTATAATAAATCTCTTATTAACCAAGCTTGCTCGGGGCCGTACTGGAAGAATATCGGCCCTCGGTCTTTTTT